TGACTTAGGAAGGCACATCAGATGTCCATACCTTTTTTGGCTCCATTTTTTCTCTTTTCATTGACAAATATTTGATAAGCATGTTTTATGTGCCATTCCTACAAGCACTATCCGTGAGTATTGGGCAAGCAGTGATGAACATGTAAGAACCTATAAGGCAAGGTGTCTCAGTGAGTAGAGACATTCGCCACCACACTGGCAATCTGAGTTCTATTCTCAGAACTCCTACAAGTTGTCTTCTGAGTCCCACATGTACACCATGGCATGTGCTGCTCCCCCCGCCAAATTAGTGTGAAATAGAAAAGAATAAACAAAAAGAATGTGTGAGGGGCTAAGGAGATGACCCAGCCAGCCAGAGTACGTGATGAACAAGTCCAGTGCATGGAATTCAAGTCAAAAAGTGCGGTATATAATCCCAGTTCATCTACAGAGAGATGGGAGGAAGAGACAGGAGGTTCACCAGGAAGCTCAAGGCTTAGCTAGCCTGCAGTTTGCAGCTCAGCAGCAAAGCTTGACCCTGACTCAAACAAGGTAGGAGAAAACTGACTCTCAAAAAGTTGCCCTCTTGGGGCTGGAGAGATGGCTCAGAGGTCAAGAGCACTGGCTGCTCTTCCAAAGGTCCTGAGTTCAATTCCCAGCAACCACATGGTGGCTCACAACCATCTATGATGAGACCTGGTGCCCTCTTCTGGCATGCAGGTGTTCATGCAGGCAGAACACTGTATAAATAATAAATATTTTGAAAAAAGAAAGTTGCTCTCTGCTCTCTATATGTGTGCAGGCAAGCATGCATGCTTCCTGCACACACACACACAGAGAGAGAGCTTGAGCAACCCTGTTCTCATGAGGGTTATACTCCAATGGTGGAAACTAACAAAAGCCATTGCTTCAGGACAAACAGGAGGCAGAAGCTTGATAAGACTGGAAGATCCTTTCAAAGAGCCAGGTTCTCCCATCTGCAGTGCTTTCCAGAAGCTCAGCATTCACCTTCTCTTTAGAGACCACTAGTATGTTGAGGGTGGCTATCCGACAGTAGGTAGCAAGTTCCAGCATGTGGCTGCTGACCTTTGCAGGCACGGAGCTCCTCATTGTTAAGGAAGATTGATGTCGCCTTCTCACGGATAGGAGTCAGCTATTCTGTCCCTGCACTGTGTATTATGTGCTTACATACCATCTGCTGGTGCTTCCAGCCTCCACTGCTCAGAGCAGATCTGTATGGTAGGAAGGGAAGGTTTGACCCAGGCTCTCTCACCTATCTTCTGGGCCTCTGATGGACAGGAGACTTCTGAGAGGGCGTGGGTCTTAACAGTAATGCCTAGAGAGGTGGACATTCAGCTGGGGGGGGGGGCAGAGCACTTTGACCTTGTAATGTTAGGGGTGGCTGGAGGAGCTGCCTTGGGGTCTGTTCTTGGCAGTAGTGGTAAGCCCCTTTTGTATATGCTCTGGGAAGGCTTTAGGGAGTCCTGTTATGGAGTCCTCTGAGGCAGCCACAGCACATCCGGGGGATGGTCCTCCAGAGCCCTGGGGTGAGCCTTTCTATCTCTTGTGTTATTTCATCCCATCTTTTCCAACAATACTGCAAGCAGTCAGTAGCCTCACTGTACAGTTGAGGAATACTGAGGTTGAGAACTGACCAAAGTCACCTCTTAGGCAACAATCAACACTGAATTTACTCGTCCTGTCCCAGTGGTAAGGCTGATCTGGACCCCCTCTGTTGCCCAGCCATCCCAGATGCACGGGGGGGGGGGAGAGCTCTGGGACCCCTGTGAACCCGCAGCTGGTGACATTTGCTCAGCTCACTCTGAGTACTGGCTTTGGCATCTGTAGAAGAGGTGCACTGTGTCTGAGAGGAATGCCAAATGGCACAAGACGCCTAAGGTGCTAGAAGCTGGAAGTGGCTCTGCAGTAGTGACCCGTCTCTCTGTATCCCTCCGTTAGCCAGGAGAAAACAAGCTAGGGCTGGAAGAGAGGTTCATGCACAAAGCCTTGCACTGGTCTCTGGATCCTGGCACCTGCAGGCCTCCCAAGGGCTCCTCTGCCAGTGTGGCGATTGTTGTAGCTCAGCTTGGAGGGTGGGAGCTCTGCAGAGCATATATGAAGGGTTGGCACAGTGTACCATCTGGATGCCTCAACCCGTGGCTGGCATGATTACTCTTGGTGCTTTTAGAGTTCAGGGGCTGTTAGGAATGTACAGCTCTCAGGGTGGCTTTGCTCTATACTGCTTGTAGCACCAGCAAGGAAATCCCGGGGAAGGCTGGGCTCAGTTCTGAGCCATTCTGGATTTGAACCTGGAAGGAGGATTAGAAGCTGTAGCCAAGATGACAAATCCTAGTCCCCTGGTTGTCCAGAGTGCCCGTGGCTGAAGGGGACATGAGTCAACCTAATGTCAACTTCCTGCCAAGTGAAATGATCACTTTCAAGCCCAGGAAAGCGCTGCCTGAGGGATGATTGGTGGGCTAGAAAGGCTGTACCCCACTGCTCCTCTGTGGTGGCACTGGACAGTGCAGGGACAGTCTTTTCTGTCTCTTTGTCCCCTGAGTCCTGAAGGGTAAGTGTTCAGACTAGTGGAAGCTCTGCTAAATTCTAGCCCCCCCCCCCCCCTTAAGACAAGGTTTCTCTGTGTAGCCCTGGCTGTCCTGGAACTTGCTCTGTAGACTAGGCTAGCTTCAAACAAGACGTGGGCCTGCCTCTGCCTCCAGAGGACTGGGATTAAAGGTGTGTGCCGCCACCACCCAGAAGCGATCCTACTCCTTGTAGAGTGTCCTATGGACCTCATTGACCTGATGGCAGTCTGAGCTGGCCCAGCTCCAACCCCTACACATAGTTTGGAGCCCTTCACCTGGAGCTGCACTCTTTCACCAAACACCAAAACCAAAAGAAACTAGATATGCAAAAGGAACCCCAGCCCTTACACTGTATATCTGAACTCTCCCTGCAAGATCCTGCAATGGCATCTTTGTCACCTTGCCTCTTTTGTTTGTGACTGCCCTGTTACTTTCACTGTGAGATCCTTCATTGCATGAACACATGGCTGAATGGGCCATTTTGAGACCTCCCCTCAAGACAAGCTCCCACAGCTTCAAACTCACTATTAGCCAAGGCTAGTCTCAAACTCTTGATTCTCCCACAGCATGTTTTCTGCCTGGCCCTGTTTCTGGACTTTTCTGTCTCCAAGGCAAAGCATCACCGTTGCTATGATGGTCCTGGGTTTTCTTAAACAAAACACTGGGATTTTCTTCACTCCAGTAGAAACAAATTAGGCTTGTGTTAGGGTTCAGTGCCAAGTGCTGGAAATACAGAGAAACACCATCTTATTTCACTAGTGTGTCTCTGAGTGACGCTGCTGTGGGAGGCGGGACCTGCTGCTGTGATCTCACTATCTGCCTCATTCTCCAGATGGTTTTATGTGCAAGCCTGACCTGTCTTGGGTTTTACGAAGAACAGGAAAAACAAAACAAAACAAAACAAAACAAAAAAAAAAAAAAAAAAAAAAAAAAAAAAACAGAAAAACATCATCCAAAAAGCACCACCCTGTCCACTCTGCTCCTGCATTCAAGACCCTCCAGACTCCAGACTTGCTCGGCCTGGCCAGTATCAGCTCACACCAGGTCTTTGCCAGCATCCATCACCCTCTCCCTTACCACATGAAGCATCCTCAGGACCTTGGCTGTCCCTGCCCGCTCCTCACTCTTCTCTGTCTTTTTAGGGTTTCCCCTCCCACCCCCCAGATTTATCCACCTTCTCTGGGAAGCCTTCCTAAAGACCGCTTTGCAAGACTACATTTTTAAGGAATCATTTCTGTAATTCTTTTCTGAAGACCGCTTTGCAATAAATTATTTCTTCCTCCAAGGCACGTATGTTGGTATCTCACAGCTATTCATTGAGCGCCTTCCTTTGCCTGACAGGCCCTAGCCCGCCCTGTCCTCTGCCGGGAGCCTGAAGTATTCACACCTGCTTCTCACCTCTCAGCGTCTCCAGGGTCTCAGAGATCAGCATCAGAATCTCAACGATGTCTATCCTGTCTCTCGCCACCATGTTTTGCACTTTGTCAGAAAAGTGTCAGAAGGCTTTTAGACTGGACTCTGCCCACTAATCAAACCCCTTGGCCCGGCCTCTGTGGCCTTCCTTCATTTTGACAGAATGGTGACGATGCCTCAGGATTGTTCAGGAAACTGAAGCCGGGGTGGATGGGAGCCACGAGAAAGCTGGGAGTCCCAGGCTCGTGAAAGATGCCCAGTGATGGCATCCCTGGGCTTGGCGTTGCTTGTAGGGCAGCGCAGCTTCACCTCGCCCTTTACCAGTGTCAAGTGCATCAGTCACCAAACCCCCAACCCGGCCGTCTGGGAATCCCGGGTTGCAGAGGATTCCGATGCAAAAAAAAAAAAAAAAAAAAGATTCTGCCTCCCTGCCAGCCTTGCCCCCACCGAATGACTCTTCTGAACACACCTTGAACCCCGCGCCAGAGCGCAGTTCACAGCGCCGCCCGGAACTGCAGCTACGCGACGCGGACCAAGGCCAGGGGGGTCGCGCATCTTCGCTGGTGACTCAGGGCTGGTGCTCGGCGGTGGGGTGAGTGTGGGTGGAGGAGAGACAGACGGGGGCCGCGCGGGGGCAGCGGACGGGCGAGAGGTAGCCGAGCGTTGGGAGCAGAGACCGGCCCTGGCCCGTCGCCATTCCGCACGGGCGTCTGTGTCGCGGAGGAGGCCCGGGTCGCGGGAGGAAGGGCTGCGCAGCTTCCCAGCGGGCGCGCTCTTCAGCCGGTGCGCGGTGGCCCGGGCCGCCCGAGGGCGGCGTCTGGAGCGCGGAGCCCGCCAGGCGCGTGAATGAATGGGCGCCCGGGGCCGCGCGCGCTCGGGGCTGAAGGGCATTAGGACCGTGAGGATAACTCTGCGCTCCTCTCTCTTCCTATCAGCACCCCCCCTCCCCAACCACCACCACCACCACCACCTCTCTCCTTTTTCTGCTCTGCAGGACTGAGCAGCCCGGCGCAAGGGCTAACGAACAGCTGGGGCAGCGAGCGCCCCCGGCCCCGGCCCTGAGAGCACGCCGGCCCCGGGCCCCACGCGGGGAGCCCGTCCGCCCACCATGAGGAAGATCCGCGCCAATGCCATCGCCATCCTGACCGTAGCCTGGATCCTGGGCACTTTCTACTACTTATGGCAGGACAACCGAGCCCACGCCGCATCCTCCGGCGGCCGCGGCTCGCAGAGGGCTGGCGGGAGACCGGAGCAGCTCCGCGAGGACCGTACCATCCCGCTCATCGTGAGTACGGTCTGCGCACCGGCTGAGCGGGCGAGCCGGGGGTTGGGGGGGAGCCTCGGCGCGCGTCCTGCTTCTTGCTGTTGGCCGAGGGAGCGAGGCCCGGCCGGGAGGGAGTGGGGGGGGAGGTTGGGGGAGCTGCGTGCCCCCGAGAGCCGTTCAGGCTTTGTATATGTTCGAGAATTCCTGCGCGTTGTTATGGCAACCTGTGCCGGCCCGGAGGGGCCGGGGTGCTTGGATGCAGGGAGGGTGACAGCGTTGTGGGGGGCAGGGAGAAAGTGCTGCAAGTTTGGTGGGCCCGGCGTGCGCGCGCGACTGGGAACGTGGCGGCTCTCGGGGCCCCGCGCCGCCGGGGGCTGGGGACGAGGGGGCTTGCGGGCGCCTCGCCATCCCCAGAAGGCGGCTGGCCCCTGGAGTGCAGCGAGCGGGCGGGCGGTGGGAGCGGAGCGGAGCGCAGCAAGAGCGCGTAGGTGGCGGTGCGCACCCGGTCTTCAGCCTCTGGGGTAAAGGACGCCGGGTGGGTGGAGAGGGGTCTCTGAGCGCTGCCCTTGGCGTAGCGCCTCCTCCTCCCGGATCAACTTGGACCAGTTTCTTCGGCATTGACTCTTCCCTTCCCCAGGGATGTTCAGACCCCAACACTGGGGTCTGAAGATGAAGCGGACAGTGTCTGCTCCTGGGCTGGGCGATTCCCTCTCGTGAGATCACCCTCCTGACGTCTGAGCGAGCGGGTGAACAAAAGCGGTGTAGCATTCCCGGAGCCTCACTAGAGCCGGGGTAGGGGGACGGTACGGACTAAGCTGAACAGTAGACCCCGGTGTGGGCCTGCGGAGCCTGCAGGGGGCGTTCCTGGCTACACTTTCGCCCAGTCGGCTTGTGAGGTTTCCTGGGGCCAGGTTGGGCACCTGTTGAGGAAGGAGACTGTGCGACCCGTGGAAAGAACGCTAGGATGGGAGCGTTCTTCCGATGGGGGCAGGTAACCTCTCGGGATACACTGCTGTTCAGAGACAACTTGGAGCATCCAGGACCAGAAAGAAGAGCAAAGAACCGGGAGGGGTCTAGGAGAGTGTGTGTGAGACCCTGACCCGGAAAGGTTTGAACCCGGGGGAGGAGGGGCCCGGGGCTCCCCTGGGAGGTGCAAGATCAGGAGAGCTGACACCTGTATCCACTAGAATACTGGATTTGTAGTGAAATCCAAGACTATGAGGATGGTTCTGTGGATGGTCTCTCACGGCTCCATCCTGCCCCAGATTATCTTACATCGCCTGTTTGTAAAGAAGTAAAAACTCACTGCTGGAGTCAGTTTCTGCGCCTGGTGGGGGGAGCCCTTAGGCCCTAAGGTTTGTCTTTTCACGCGGATTCCAAGTTGTGCATTATCTGCAAACATTCTTAGGAGGGCCACTGTCCTGTGCCTAGGACATGGCTTCCAAAGCACTTGTCAAATGTCTGGACGGAATGGAGAAAAAAACAAAAGCCTGTGCACTCCAGGGCACTGAGATCCATGCGGAATGACTGGCTGGAGGAACAATAGCAACTTTGGTGGCTCCAGTGAGTTCCCACGCCGTGAGTCTCAGCTGCCCTGTTCTTAGTCCTGGATCCGGCTAGCCCTGGTCTCCAGGACCACAGCCTAAGCCAACATGATAGAGGTGAGGCAGGCTGTTAAGCTCCCTGTCCCCCGCTCTCTCTCTCTCTCTCTCTGACCTGTTGGGAGAAGAGAGCAGAGGCCACAAACAAACTTCTGTAGCCTCTAAGGCAAAAGTTCAAACCCCGACTTTGGCTGGGACACCTATCTTCTGTGCCTCTTGAAAGAGAGTTCCAGAATGGTGGTGGTGGTGGTGTGTGTGTGTGTGTGTGTGTATTAGGGGAGGCACTGTTGGTGGAATACAGCACAAGACTTGATGAGCTTTAGAAGTTGTGGGGGAGTCACTAATGAACACTTCCCTGCCCTTGTTGCTGGTGAGGGGTTGGGTCTGGAAGCTCAGGGTAAAGTGTGCAGGGGAATTAGGGAGAGACCCCGGAGCTGGGAAGTGAAGGTACAGGAAGAAAGGCAAGCACGGAAGTCCCGGGGTGCTGAGCGGCAGGGCCTTCTCTTGCCACTGGAGTACATAGCCAGATCACTCTCTGTTCCTAAGCGTTAGCCTGGGATGTCTCTCGTGCCAGCATCAGGCCTGACTGCAGGCTGCACTTGTGTTGTGTGCCTACCCTGAGTGGATTCACTTCTGGGTAATTCTCAGCTGAATACGAGCCTTGCAGGCGGGGACCATGCTGGAGGCTTTCTGCATTTCCACACTGATACACACCGCAAGGCTTAATAAGCACTGCTTTGATAAAAGGCGTGCAAAGGGGTTTTGCTCGCTAGGAGCAGTGAACGGCTCCAGCTGTTACTTATCCACAGCTCCAGCCTGACGGAGGTAGAAAGGTAAGGCGGCACATGCTTGAGTTATCTTCAACTTAAAAGAGGGCAGGTGCCAACTGGAGATATGATTTCTCTCTAAAAGTTTTGATAACTATTCGCTGTCGGCCATTTCTAAACATCTCTTTGTTGAGTTGGGCCAAAATTTCAGATTCTTAGAGAATGAGGTGGCCAGCCCTGTTGTCAGAGGCTGAGAAAATTCAGACAGGCATCATCATTACCAGCCCCCCCCCCCCCCCAGGGAACCAGAGAGCTGAAACCGGAAGGGGAGGGTCTGAGTGAGAGTCTGGTACTGGAGGCAGCTCTGCCTTCACCCTGTTGTCTGGCCTGTTCAAAGCCGGCCAAGTTGTCGTTGGACCTTGGGGAGCTTGTTTGGCACTATGGGGTGTCGGCATGGCAACCCTATGGCCGAACTTCCCAGAGAGGCCCTGTGTGTCTCCGTAGTCTGTCCTGCTCTCAGCCAGTGTGTCACAAATTCTGATGTGAATATTTGGTCGTGGAATCTGGGATTTAGGGGAGGAGCTGACTCCATCCCCCTGGCAGCTTTACTGCGTGGCTGGGCTTGTCACTTTTCCTTGCCGTGCTTTGCTGGGCAAGGCAGCGTGTTTGGAGACATCCCCTTGGCTCTACACTGACCTACACTGAATGCCGGCGGGTGCAGGACTGGAGTATGTGGTTGTTTGGTTCTTGATTCGGGTTTTCTGTCTTAAATAACATTTCATGTTACACTGTTTAAAAACAAAGGAAAACTATTTTGGGTGTCTTCAGTAGGGATGTACTCATTTAATATAACCGTTTCCTGTTTAAACACATGAAGGGTTTAGGCATGAATATTCTGAACTAGAACATTTCCCTCCCTCCTTTTTTCCCTCCCTCCCTTCTCCTTCCCTTCATTCCTTTCTTCTTTCCCTCCTTCTTTTGTTTCTTTTTGTTCATTTCTTTTGACCCCAGGCTGCCCTTGAACTAAAAATCTTCCAGCCTCAGCCCCTGAGTATTAGGATTACAGATAAGCATCTCCACCCCTGGCCTCAACTGGAGTTTCTTACCCTGAAATTGGGCCAGTTCTGAGTAACCGTGAGCAAAAGACTGTCTTTGCACCTTTGTTAGTCTTTGTTCAGTTTGGGTTAAATAATTGGCCAGGTTTGTTAGTGCCTTGATAAACAGATGGTAGATTTTTCAAAGGGGGAAATAGTTTTGGAAATTTTCCAGGATGCTTCGAGGACATGGTATAGACAGGTATGGCCTGTCAGGAGGTCCTGCAGAAACCCTTTAGGTCTTTCAGGAAGCCTCATTTGCTAGTAGAAGGGGACACTGATGGTGGCCTTTCTGGTGTAGTTCTCTGAGGACTAAGGTTCAACACGAATTGAATGGATTTGTGTTTTATTTATAATGTGTGCATTTTGGAGCCGTGGGAACATGACTTTCCTAAATGATAGAAAATGATTTTGTATTTAACTTGTCTAGTTGCCTTGTGTGAGAAAGAGGTTAGGGAGAGAAAAAAAAAAAAAAAAAAAAACTACTACCCACAATTCCCTTTCCCAACATGTTCAGATGTAAAGCGCTCAGAGGCACCCAAGGCTAGAGGTCGTTCTCACAGAATGACCTGGGATGCCAGAGGCCCAAGGGCACAGGAGGCATCTTAGGGTACTGTTCATTTCCCCAGCAACCTCTGTTTTTGTGCTATAACAGCAGCCCTCCCCCCACATCCCACTGGCCAGTAATCTCTTACTAGAAGCTTGGAGGCCTGAGGGACTTGGCTTCCTTCTGTAGTGGTTGTATTTGTCAGTTCAACAAGCAAAGGAAGCTCCAAGGTGGAAAAAAAATACCATTCAAGGCGGACATGGAGGGGACATGAGGTGCTAAGTTTGGCTAAGCTGCCCAGGGGACTGCTGCGCCGTAATGGAAGAAACCACCTTGAGGTCAGGAGGGAGCCAGTAGCCAAGGAGAAGATTGCAGATTTCTGCCCAGGCTGCTTCTTCAGGGAACGCAGAGCACCTTCCAATGAACAGCAGAGCAAAGTCATGGAAGATAGACAGACCAAGACCCAAGCCTTCCAGAGCAGGGGTGACGAGCTTTCAGGTGGGGTCAATTAATGACCCCGGGGGCACCAAATTTGATTCACTCAGACATCAGCCCTGCCCTGGACAGTCTCACGCTGTGCTCTGCTTATTCTTAGAGCTAGTTCAACCCTCTTAGTCTAGCGTCTGTAGTAGCTGCCTGTTCTGTGTTACACGGATGATGATTACACACATCTGATACCTTTGAAGCTGGACAAGTATTTCCCAACCTTTAGCTTCGAGTTCCCTCCCTCAAACAGCCTCCTGAGCTAGGTACCAGCATTATTTGTAGTTAACGCAGGAGTAAACTGAGGCTTATCCACGATCTGATGGGTGAGTGAGTTAATATGGGGTGTTTTAGACTCGAGATCTGCGGGGGCTGTCTTTTCCCTGGCAGCATCCTGACTGGCCTCCCCCGCCTCCCAGTCTCTTCATGTTCCACACCTGGGCATTCCCTGTCAGAAGTCAGAATCCTGGGGTGGGAATGGAATCCGTACTGAGCATGTCCAGGTTCGTCCCTGATCCCCTCTCCCCCA